AACGAGAAGCCCAGCGATGTTCGTTTTTTCTTCAACGGTACGCGCGATTTTGTAGAGACAACGGGCACGAGGTGTTTCCATCGATTTAAGCCGCTCTTCCGCGCACAGCCACTCGTTCCTCCGAGTAACGAACGTTCAAACGTGCGCGCGCTCCGCACCGGTAAGTAATGAGATTCTATTAGGGCAGGCCATGCTGGAGATGAGTCGACTCCGCTGCGACTTGCAATTTTCACGCGTAATTTTTATCAACCCCGGAATATTCCGCCCGCGGACCGCGCGGAAAGACAGCTCGTTTTCTCCATCTTTTGCTCGGAGGCGGGTTGTTTGCGCGATATCGATTACGCCGGTCAGAGTTCCGCGTTCTGGAGTCAAACGTCTGGGAAACGGGCTCTAAACTCGATAATAATGAGATAACAACGAGTACAGAGACCAAAGCACCTTCGAAAATGAACCAGTCAGTTTACCGCGTCAGTTCGCCGCGAAAAATTCCATTTCGAGCGAACGGTACAGCGCCGTTGTTCGTTCGAGACGTTTTACAAAGGAACACGTGCAGCTGTTTGCACGCGGAGCAACAGAGGGAAATAAAGAGCGGATAGGCAATACGAGCGTTGGGTAATCGCGCAACGAAATAGAAAAAGGGAACTGGGAAAATATCGCGTGCACATCGAGGCGAAATCGTTTCTTCGAAACATATTTGATCTACCGGGCGCGGAGACGTAGTTTCGTGTATATATATATATTTAAATGAGAAAAATGTTTCGCACGAGAGTCGGGACAAGCAAGTAGACGCAAAGGCGATCGTTCTCGGTCTGTTCGACTTCGTTTTTCAGACGAAAACGCGTTACCCCCTTCGCGGCTTTTTTCTTCGATTTTCCAAAGTAACATCGAGCGAGACTCGTGATAAGGAATTCGAGGCAAACCACGAGTGAGGCTCGTGATTCGTAACAGAGATTCATTATCGCGTTATAATCTTGGCCACATTCAGACGTGCAGATATATCGCCTTAAATATTATTAACTTTCCGCCGGTTTTTCAAAAGGTTAGCAATTTAAAATAAGCATTTATTTAGAAATCGAAACAAAGTATTGCCGATACGTTATTCATTATATGCAGATAATAAATCATTTTTGTTCACTGATGAATCGTTGATAACTCCTTCCCGTTGTCTCTCATGAAAGATCCTGACGTCTAAGCTATTTCGTTTTGTCAATATGTTTATATTTAATTTGAAATATCGATGTTAAACAATACATACGCTTGGGTCTCCTTAATAAAATTTAATATTTCAAAATTGTTCTACAACGCGACCTTCAAGCAACGAAATAGATCTCAGGCACCTTACAAGATTAATGTATCAGTTGTTTCTAGTCTCCTTACGCTTTCATTACTTTTCTTTCCCGATTAAATCTAAACCACGTGCATAAATAGGCAACATTTACTTTTAATCTACTTCTGTTGCATTGCTGTTTGCTGGAATTTTTCGCAAAAGTTACATCAAAGAAACGCTGTCACTGTCCAAGCCCGTGGCATTAAAACAGTTAACTCTTTCGCTACCGCGCATAAGTCCTGACCGTTTTTGGTCCTTAACGTTTCGGGTTTGCTTACGACGACATTGCCTCGAAGATTTGCTTTCGCAAACACTTTTCTTAATAGGAAGTGATTTTGGTACTCGAAACGAGACATTTTTACTTTGTCGATTAATTTCACGTATAATTAAACATTGAAACAAATTCAATTCAATTTTCAATGGTGAGTCGTTGCTCAATTTACCATGTTTCATCCTCTCGAGCCTCGTATTATACTTTATCTATAGTTACTTTACTTTCCGACTGTTTTCCACGTCGAGTGACTTTAGTCGGCCGTGATAGCAAAGGAAGTTAACTGTTGAAGGAAAGAAAAAATTTGAAAAATCGAAATCCTCTGCCGCCGGACAGAGAGAGCGCGCGAAACATTGCCTCGCGAGCGTGGCGCGGAGGAACAATCTTTCGATTTACGCGAAGAGATTGGCGAACG